GGATAAAAGTCTTGGGTCCTATCGGCTTTCAGTGTGCTGAGGCTACATTTTTTTATCGTGTTTCTTGCATAATAACTTTTACCTCTGTGAAAATTGTTCAACCTTGCTTTAAAAGTCTCTAGATTCTGAGGATCCCTTTCCCATTGCCATGTTGGAGAAAATATGTTACTTTTAAGAAGAGCGGCATCAGCGAAGAAACAAACAATAACAATGTACTGAGGAGTGGTTGTCCATTTTCCTGAGTTTGATTAGCTTGGGACAACAACAGTCTATGGCAGAAACCCATTTCCCCCAAAGCTGCCTGTGCTTCCAGCCTGTTCTGCAATTACTTACTGTTAGTGAGAAGTGTCAGAATTTGCTCTAATTACTTCCCTGAAAACTGCACATTTTCAGGAAGGGAAGTTGCATATCAATCTGGTGTTTTTCTTCATGCTGATTCAAATTTACTGTATCTAGCAGAGATTCCTGCCAGAAAGTTGTGATACGGAGTAAGTGTCCCTTATCCGAAATGCTTGGAACCTCAGCGTTTCAGAGTTCAGGTTTTCTTTTGGATTTTGAAATATTTGAATATACATAATGATATATCTTGGGGATGGGACCTGAATCTAAACACAAAATTCATTGATATTTCCATATACACCCCATGACCGTGGACTGAAGGTAATTTTATACATTATTCTTAGTAATTTTGTACATGAAACAAATTTGTGTACATTAAATCAGCAAGCAAAGGTGTCACTATCTCAGCCATTCATATGGACAATCTGTGGTTGTTTGGTGTAACTGTCATGATGTGCTCAGAAAAGATACATTGCAGCAGAAGCGGGCTGGGGGGGTCCTTTTTTCTCTTGAGGATGCTTGGTAAACTGTATGCTGTGCATCTGTGCTTTGACTGTGACCCATCACATGAGTTCAGGTGTGAAATTTTCCACTCGTGGTGTCATGTCAGTGCTCAAAATTTTCAGATTTTGGAGCATTACGGATTTTGAATTTTTGGATTAGGGATGCTCAACTTGTGTATCATTGGCAGTATTTACTGGTTTTAGAATTGATGAACATGTTCTTTCTCATTTGTATTTACGTTTGGTTATCTCTCAGTTTCTTGGAGGAATCCTTTATAAGAAATTCTCATAAGAAGTAACTTATTTTTTTATTTTATGTAAAAACAAGTGAGTAAAACATCTATAGGACGCTTGATTATTTGAACCCTGAGACAGTTAACATTTCATGTAGCAGTTCTCAAAGTATGTTCTACAGAAGTCAGTTCCAAATCATGTTAACAGCATTTATAGGAGCAAAATTTCCATGGTCAAAAAAATGTTAATAACGGAAGTGAAACAAAATTCAACGTAATTCTTTACTGAAGGACTTTTTTTTTCAGATATGGAGCTTGGTTGTTATATTTTTTTAAATTTTTTAACCTTTATTTTAGGTTTGGAGTTAAATATGAAGATTTGTTACATAGGTAAACAGGTGTCACGGGAGTTTGTTTTACACATTATTTCATCACCCAGCTGTTAATCCAGGACCCAGCAGTCATCTTTTCTGCTCCTCTCCCTCCTCCCACCCTCCACCCTCAAGTAGACCCCAGGTCTGTTGTTTCTTACTGAAGGACTTTTCAACACCATGAGTATGCAAAAGAACATTGTGAACTTATAAGACAGACATAATATGCAGTATTTCCTATAACTTATTTAATTTAGTGCCTTTATTTTTTCTATAAATTATAAGAAAGGAAAAATAAGTTAGTATAACAAACACCAAAATTACTGGTATAACAGCATCATTTCCTAATTATAGGTGAAGCAGTTAAGAAGAAATAAAAAGTCTTCTAAATGTTAGCCTTGCAAATTTCATTATAAAAGTAATCACTGCCTCCCTTTTCCTGTATCCATGCAGCAAATATTTGGCCCATGCTTAATTCATGATCCCATAAATGTGTGAAAGGAAATTTTAATACGAGGGAAATGGTATGTTCACCTGTTACTTTATAAGGATACTGTGAGAATTGAATGAAGAATGCATGTAAAGTGCTATAAAAATCCCATTGCTTTACAATGAAACCTATAGACCAACAGTTTTAAAACATGCTGTTGTAATATACGGATGTATTGTGAATCATTGTGAGATATGTTGCAAGTTACTAATATTTCTAAGTTTGTGATATTATATGATTTTATAAAATACAAAATGTAACGTGTTCTAGGTTATGCTTATTATGATGTCATTGTCACTGATTTCTGATATAATCTCTCAAGTGGGAGGAAAAGGGAAAAAGTTTTAACTACTCTGTTGGAAATTGACCTGGGAATGGAATGTCTTTGTTGTTGCTGTTTAGCGTGTGCTGTGATTTGAACGTGTCCCTCAAAGTTCATTTCTTAGAAACAATCCCAATGCAATGGTGTTGAGAGGTAGGACCTTTAAGATGAAACTAGGCCATGAGGAATCTGCCTTCATGTGTGGTTTAATACCGTTATTTCAGGAGTGTATTCCTGATCATAGGATGTGGTTGGCCTCCTTTCCTCTCTCTCACCTGAGTGCTCTTTTGCTCTCCTGCCATAGGATGATGCAGCAAGAGGGCTCTCACCAGGTGCCAGCCTCTTCATCTTGGACTTCTCAACCTCCAGAACTTTAAGAAAATGTATTTCTGTTTATTAAAAATTTTTCAGTCTCAGATAGTCTGTTATAGAAGCACAGAATGAACTAAGACACCATATGAGCTGTAGCCCATAAAGGTTGTGAATTAAAGCAGCAGAACCCTCCACCTTGAAGCAGCAAACAGTCATAGTTTTGATAAATCAAGAGCAGCCCCCTAATTGCCCAATGTGGTGACTGGTAATATTGCTGAGACATGGCTTTGAGTCACATATGTTGTGAGGCTGCATAGTAGGATGTGTCACTTGGCTCTTGGTGGAGAATATGATTTAGGAGAAAATCTGACCCTTATACCAGTAGTCCCGATGAAGGCACTCATTTGGCTACTATATTTTTCTGTGAATAGAATGTGAAAATTTTTAGAAGACAATTTCTGTTTGCATAAGTTCATGTTAACAGAAACCATTAGGCCACATTTTCCACAGAAGGTTTTTTTGTTTGTTTGTTTTTTGTTTTCAGGGGGCTAAAGAATTTTGTATATGGGAAAATTTATAAGGTAGCTGAAGTGAATGGCCTGTGAGGATGAAATCAGACAATACTGAAAAATAGATGTGAACACACGTATACACACATCTACTGCAGAGATGCCAATCTCAGTTTTTAAAGGCATAAAGGCACACTGACTTTTCTACTTAATTGCATTTTAGCAAACTTTGTGATTAAGGGCAGACTTGTTCCATACTTTGACTAACCTAAGTGCCTCTAGACAGAAAAAGAAGGGCATTGTGCATACATATTAGCAGCCCGTTACATTAAACTGTGACATGGCACAACCCCTTTGTACAGATTTCATTAGGGCATAGTCTCTTGCAGACATCAGAAATACAAAGCCAAGTAGAACTTTGTATGCTAATTCCCCATTGTATGCTAATTCTCCATTGCCCCTTATTTATTTTGATTGGCAGATATTCTCTGATACAGTAAAAATGTCAAAATGATGACAGAATCTTATTGTTTCACACTTTCTCTTTGGAAAACATGTTGCAACAAAGCACCTTTTACCTACATCTACCAAATGCTACTGCTTTGATAGTCAGTTTGACTGGCTATTTGGGAATGAGCTCTACCAAATGCTACTGCTTTGATAGTCAGTTTGACTGGCTATTTGGGAGTGAGCTCTGCCAATGGCTGCTTCAGGATTTAGCACATTTTGATTGAAAAACAACATTCAGTCATGATATTCAGAATCTCAGGAAGACCCACAGATTCTATTTAACACACAATGTTAAATAGAATTGATAGGACTGTATTCATGGATATGCAAAGCTAATTGCTGTTAATATGTAATGTACATGGGCTTTACAGTTTGTAGAATGTTTTTCTCATACTAACTCTCAATGTTGTTGTGGTAGAAATAATTTGGAGTTACATGGTTGGATGCAGGTATCCCAACTGACTCTTTGGCATTAGGCTGGCTGAGGTCATGTTGGAATCTGGGGATTCTGCCAGAGTCTGATTGAGAACACTGACCTCACTGTCAAAACTGCCCCACTGGAGGGTGTTCAGTTGTGACCGGAGTAACTGGAATACTGAATCCCTCTCATTCCTAACTCTGGAGGTATGCACACCAAGTGATACCATCCTACAAGTGGAGTCACAAAAAGTGAGATTCGCAGCATGGTTGGAAAGGTGGTGCCAGGCTGTCAGTCTTTCCTAGAGAGCTAAACCTTGATAGCAGGACCCTCGTCCTATGGCACCGACGCAAAAAGAAAGGGACTGACCTACATATGGTCTCTGGACTCAGGCACATGACCCAGAGTTCAGAAAAGTCTTCAAACCTTAGCGGGAAATGAAGTGTTAGGCAGACAATGGAGTGGGAGTCAGCATTTCAGGAGAAAATCAGATCCTGTGCTTAGATGATCAATCACCAGGGCTTGGCGATGGCAAAGTACTTCCTGACATCATTCTGTGAGTATTCAGTCCTAGGTAGTAATGGTAGAGGCCTATAGGCAATGACAAGACCTGATCCAGTTAAAAGACAGAGGCTGCACATTAGGATTCCCCCAAGAGATTTTAGGGTTAAGAAGTGTATCACTGAAATACTTCATTCTGTTTGCTACTCTGCAGAAGAATAGACAGAAGAATTAGGGAAAACAATAAGTTGTTGATACACATTTGTTGTAATAATGAAAATGTTATTATGTAGTACCTTCATTGTTTTGATGCCCTGTTTGTTTGTCGTTTGTTATACTTTGGAATATATGTTATACTTTGTACTGTTTGTGAGTCCTAGGATGTTTTCTCAATTTCCGTTTTACTTTCTAGAGTTTAATTTTAAATTTTGCACTTTTTAAAATACATGATTTGTTTCTAATGAGTTTTGCCTTATCTGCTTGTTTTGCCAGGTTGTTTCCAACCGTATTATCTACTATTGTGGCAATAAACACGAGTCAAGAGTTGAATAAAAAGAATTCTTTTTATCATCATCATCACCATCATCCTCAATCACTGTCATCACCATACCACAAGGTATCATATCTTAAAAATAAGAAGACTTTCATATTCTACAGGAAGTAATTTCAATGTAGATCGTAGCTTTTTATTTTATTTAAACATTTTTAGCATTACTAATATGAAAATTATATTTTATTCAACCACCAGAGGGAGCTCCCAAATATATGGATTCTAAAAGGGAAGGAGTAAAGTAATTAAGTAGGCAGCTTTGTATGTTTTATGGTTGAAAATCAAAGATTTAGTCAGCTGTGTGTCATGGTTTTGTGGGATCACATGTTGGGTCTTCGTATATCAAATGCTTAAAATTTTATCCTACTATAGACGCCACATCATTTTAATTAATAGCTATGAAATAATAATCTTGTTTTTATGTTTTTTTAAAGTTTGAGTAATTGTGTTATTTTAACTTTATGTTTTAATTTTGGACAATATTGATTGACAACATGCTTTGCAAATATAATTATACTTCACGACCTCCTCTCTTAGGCCCCAATTTTTCTTAAGTTGTGTTTTTATATTGTCCAATTTATAAAACTTATATTCTTCTTTGTAACCACAAATTCAATACTGACACATCTCCTTTTCATGTTTATTTGTTTTGATGTATTGCTTGACTTGCTAAATTTTATTGTCAAATAGTTTATTGAGAAGGGTCTTTGGGTTCTAGAATCTTTGATATCTTTCATGTTTGAGAATGACTGCTTGTTGCTTTACACATGTATGACATATAGAGTGGGTATAATATTGTGAGGTCATATTTTCTTTCTCTCATCTATGATTTAATACTCCCCCTAGGAAAATCAAGTCTTCCAATTTTTTTTTTTCACTAATATTATGTGCGTGTGGAAGGGGAAGGAAGGAAATTATCCAACTGTTTCCTGCAGGCAGAGCAAGTCCCTACAGAGCAGGCTGCCCTCAGTGATGATGAGTTTTGTATCTCCCAGAACATCCCACCTCTTAAATGTCTAGCATCTTGTAAGTATCCTTCCCATTCATGTTTCTTCATAGCTTACTGAGTTCTGTCTCTCCTCTTTTAAATGGCTTTGTTGAGATATAATTGATAAATAAAAAACTGCACGTTTGATGTGTGCAGTTTGATGTATTTGGACGTATGTATACATTGGCAATACTATCACCACAATCAAGATAATAAATATATCCATTATCTCCAAAAGTTTCCGTGTGTCCCCTCAACCACTTCCTTTTTTGTGTGGTAAAAGCACTTAGCAGAATGATCTGGGGAGGAGCAGTCCCTGGGATCACTGTGTTTATCTGTTGTCTCTGTACCCCACTTTAAAGCATCTGAAAGTTTTCTCACACAGTAATGTAATCAACCCCATTTTGTGGCTATGGAAATTGTCAGGCACAAAGGTTAAGCAAATTACCCAAGGCCATGGAGCAGATGAGTGAGAGACCTGGGAGTGGATCCAGGACTCATAACTGCTCAGTTGATATATTGCTTTCCATTGCTTGACAAGGCTGCAAGCTGTCCTGCTTCTTCCCAACACACTTGACTAAAGTCAGGTATTTAAATTTCCATTTCTAAGCTGAAGTCAGCAGTATTTCCATAACTAGGATGTTGTCACAACAGAAAAAATGAATTATAAGCAATGAATAGAGGTGAAATATATTCATTCAGAGTCAGTGTTAACACATTCCATCTTTCTTCACTTCCTTTAACCTCTTATTTTCTCCAGGCTGCTTACAAACGTATTCAATGTGTTAACAAAAAAACGTAGTAAACACATTGCCAGAATATCAGCATCGGGAACAAAGAAAAATACTTTCTATTTGGTGTTAGCATAACTGTGCATTTTAACTAGATGTATATCTCTCTGTGGATAATTAACATGCTATTTGTAAATAAAGTAAAATATTAAATATATGAAGTCACCATTCTGACTTATGTTTTTCTACAGAGCACAACCACTCTCTAACAAATATGTATCTGACAGATTGATAAATTATGGTCTCTGCCAGGTCAAATGAGCTCACTTCCCTTCAAACCTTAAAAGCCTAAGCAATAATGTCGTCTCCCAGACACAAAGAGGAAACAGCAAGCAGCTCTACTCCATCGTGATTGTTTCCTGGGCAAGCGTGTTTCCCAGCTGCAATCACAGATGCCCCAAAACGATGCCAGTGTCAGCCCCTGCCATGCTGTAGCTGCCTTCAGGGAGCATCTCAACTGCTATTTTCCCCTCCCCTAGTCCTGCACTGAACCTGCCACACCTTCTAAGAAAACCAGAGGGTTGGCTCAGTGCTGAACTGCAGGGGCTCTCACACACACTGTAACCTGCAAGAACATAGGCATTTGACTGCTGCCTCCTCAGCTTACCACAGGGGGCAGACACTGACTGAAAAGAGGTCCAAGAAATAAATTCCTAAGGAAAAGCAGGGAGATACAAAAATGCAAAATATAAATGAATCAAATAAAATTTAAAACATGTATTCTGGTGCCGCCTTTAATAGTGCATATCATGAGATGGGGTTTATTTCACTTATTTACAAATAACTCTTCATTATTGCTGAAGATGTATGAATATAAGATTTAAAGCTAGGGTGATTTAAAATTTTTCTGCAGAAAACAACTTATGGTTAGTGTTCTCTTTTTTACATTTTGTATTTCAAATTCAATAATTCTATGAATATGTTCCATTCAAATGTCCCAGCTTTGTTATGATCCCCGAAATGAATAATGCATGTCTTAGAAAGTATCTTTTCCAAAGGAAAAAGCACTATGAACATTCATTTTAACTTCCTTTATCAGTCAATGATTTTTATCCTTCACTATACATTTTAAAAGACCTGACAAACGTTCATAAAACTGTTATTCTTTATCAGTAGAGCTACAGGCAAAATTCAAAATTCTCAAATCTGTGGGAAAGATTATGAAGAAATATTATGACCGGTTATCAATCTGCACAGAATTGCCTATGTTATCCTAACATTGTTTTTAGCATGGTGAAGACAAGGATAAACCATGAAGCCTACCTGCTGGGATCTGAAATCCTGCTTCACCACTTCCTGTCTTGAGCATGTTACTCAATTTTTCTGTACCTCAGTTTTCTCTTGTCTAAAATGGAGATAATAATACTACTTCTGTTGTCATGAAGACCAAATGAGTTACTATTTATAAATTATGCCCACTAATTAAAAACTAGAACAGTGCCTGAAGGTTTTATTTTAAATAAAATAAAACATATATATTTTTTACAGCATTACTATGCTCCAGGTCAGTATTTCCATATTAGTGATCGGGTCTCTTTTCCTTACCTATCCAGAATGCTTGTGTTAGAGTTCCATTTGACAGTGAAAGGCATTAGGAAGCTATCTGGGTTGATTTTCTCATCTAGAAAATGGTGATGATGATCTTGTCTTGGAGGTCTAATGTGAAATGGAGTGAGATTGCATAAATGAAGTCCTTAACAAAGGATCTTACTGGTACAAGGCACTCAATGAATGCTCACTGATAAATAGAAGTAACTATATGCAAAGTCATCATATAAGCTCAAGATTCAAGAAGATAAAATGACTAACATGGAAACAAAACAATTGTTTATTGAAAGGGTCAGATTGTTTTATCCTTTTATTATCAGATTCAAATATTTTCAATTCATACTTTCTAAAGGGACTATTCAGAGAGAATTTCTGAAAAATTTCATCCCTCCAGGGTTTTATAGACATTTCTTGACTTAAATACAATAAAAATAACAATAAATTTCTACTTACTGGGAAAGTCTTGTTGAAATATTGTTAAGGTTTACTTAGAGGTAAACAAAAGAGATTGAGCTACTTTTTTGTTTCTTGCTTATTTGTGTTACTCAGTGGTGAAGAATAGCACTTATCGTTTCCTTTGTGAGAATGATTAAGGAAAATGAAAAACATTTGTCTAAGCACAAGTCAATTGCTAAAAGCAGGTAAAAGCATTTGGTGTGGAGTAGGCACCATCTCAATTTTAGTAAACTGGATTTTAGTATCAGATAACTGGATTTTAGTATCAGATGACTGGAAATGAGCCTGAAAAACCTCCCCTCATACATTCAGTTAATGCCTTTGCAAATACTTATTGCTGCTGCATAAAATTTTAGATACCCATAGGCAAATCCAGATAATTGAAAATTGCCTTAGTTCTGGTAAAAAAAAAAAAAAAAAAAAAAAAAAGTGTGATATTAGAACTGAGGGCTTGGTGGATGGCGGAACAGGTTGGACTTAATAATGTAAGTTCTTAGGAACATATTAAGTCCACTGAGTTATGACAAAGTGTCTGGGAAATCCCCTGCAGTGGGCACTGGGTGGGAAATCCCCTGCAGTGGGCACTTGGTAGGAAATGAGCAGGCTCTGATGAAAGCTATAGCCAATGAGCAAGAAGTGCATGGAGAACGAGAAGCTGAGAAATACCGGCCAGGAAGGGCTAATCTCAGGGCAGTCCCTCTAGCAGCAGATAGAAACCATACTATCACAGAATTTTGAGTTTATGGAAAGTACCCTAACACCCAGGAAGACTGTAAGGACAAGACAGAACAAAGACCTGCTAGGAAAGATATAGCCTTACTAGAGCATGATTCAGTTACTAAAATTGAGTTACAAGACAATAGTGTAAAATTGAAGGTTAAGACATAACACAAGAACAGGATTTAAAATGTATCTGCTTAAGGAAAAGATAGGTTTTAAAATCTAGGTTAAAGCCGGACCCGCAGGTGATAGCCTTACTGTGCAGCATAATTAACACTACCGTCACCAATATCTTATCACAAATAAATGTGTGAGTTTCATAGAATGGCTTCCTTTAATGTCCTTCAGAAAGGCAGATGGCATAGAAAACCAAAGTGTAGTTCAGCAAAAGTCAAAACAGACCCATTCGGAAGGTATTCCATGGATCTGTGTGATCTGCTTTTATGCTAAGGAGTTTTTGCTTTGTGCTACTAGTGCAAGACTAGAGCCTGGGCTATGCATCTCCTTTTATGAAGAGCAAAAGTTGGATTCATAAGTATACATGAATATGGAAGACTGGGGATGGGGAATAAAATAGTTTTCATTACCTAAACTAGGAAGTGAAAGATGGAGGCAAAGTAGACTTGTAGTTTTCAGGCGGCAGACAACTTGGATTGCTTTTCTCTTTGTTGAACGTATTATTCTGGGTGTCACCAGTAGAATTAGAGGGCTGATGAAATTCCTTCTAGCATAGACAGTTTTCAAATTAAGCACAGAGTTAAGAGCATAAAGGATGACATAGGTGGGCCCGCCCCAGTGGCACCACGCCTTCTCTCTGGTGTGGGCAGCTATGCGTATAGTAAAAGCCTCATCCTGTGAAGGCTTGTTTGTTTTGCAAGAGAAGACAACAGAAGAAATGGAAGAGAGGCAAAGGCTGGTATGCAGGGTTCTGATACCCTCACTGTTTCCCTCAAGACAATTGGATCTCTGATCTGATAGTTTTAAAATCACATTAAAATACAAAATTATTTAAACGCTGACATCAGAATTGTCCTTTCATTACTAAATGTACCACGGAAAAAAATAGAATAGTGTTTTTCGAGAGAAAATGTTACCACTGAAAAACCCTATACCCAGCCAAATTATTGGTCTTGTGCTTTGGCAACAGAAAGTTCTTTTATCACATGACGATTCTCAGAAAATACACTGTCCACATTCACTTTTGAAAAAAATATTTCACCAAACACGAGATTAAAATAGGTATCACAAAAATGAGGAAGCTATAGTATACAGCTGGTAAGCATTGAAGCTATTTGAACATTGTTGTATTTAATCAACAGCTATAAAAATTCATGTAAATATAAAAACAATTATAAACAAAAAGATACATTGTATACATTAATATTGAATTGAACCTAATAATCCAGAATATTGTTTATTAAAACTAACAAGTGGGTTTGGGTTGGTGGCTTGGGTAGAGGAAGTAAAGCATGCTTCATTTCTCATCTATCACAGGAGGAAGTCAATAGATAACACTTCTGTACTGATGTAGAAATTTTTAAATGTATACATTACAGTATACTTTTTAAATATTAAATTTTTAAGTAATCAGTAGAAACATAAAACACAATAGCTTCTAAACTGCTATAGAAATTAAGCAAACAAAATATCCATATAGGGAAAAACCAGTCAAAGGAAACAGAGAGAAACCACAAAATAAACCGTGTATGAAATACAGTGATATTCATGTGATTAAATATTTCAGATACAACCATAAATTTAAAGATTAAACTCACTATTAAATTACAAAAGTTAAAATGTGGCAACTCCAATGTATCTAAATATGCATTATACACAAGAGTTACCCCAAAACAAAAATAACCAAAAAGTAAACAATAAAAGGATGGACAAAGGTATATTCAGCAAACAAGAACTAAATAAAGGAGTGAGACTATTAATATTCATTAAACATAATTCCAAAACAAAACCAGCAAAGGGAAGAAAGATAAAAGTTACTATCCACACTGAAGGTATAATAGAATCAAACTCCAAGGAGCAAATAACATGGTTTTGACATATACAGAACAGAAACTGCTAGAGAAGAAGGAAAAAAAGTAAAACAATGCAATCATTTCAGGACATGTTATCACCACTTTGAATTTTTGACAGGTGATTAGACATAAAATAAGTAAGCATACATAATATAATAGATTTAATTATTAGAATGACAATTGACATTTCTTTCTTTAAAAAGGTTTCATCCTTTTCATTTTTCTTAAAATGTTTATCAAATTGATGATACAGTAGTAAGGAAACGGAAAAAGTTCCCTTGTGCCCTTCTCAGGGTGTGCGACAGGGGAACTGGCTCACTTCCTCAGTGCCCCACTGCTCAAACCTCTAGGGGAGTGTACAGACGGGCAGGCTGTGGGGCTCCGACCTCATGGCAGTGTGCAAGGGT